AAGATAATTATATAATAGAATAATTGAATGACAGTGTAAGAATAGATATTAAGATAAATCTAAATGATTGTAAAAGTGTTATGATTCGTAGTAGTGATATTTGGAAGGGCATAGGGAAGAGACGTACGGCCCTGGTTTTCTGGAAATCGTCAGCGGTCCGGGGCCATTAAACGCGTTATATGTGTCTTGCAATTTGATCCCACGGTGCAGAGAGAAGAGTACACCCGATCGGAGAATAATTTACGCAAATTCCTGGTCTCATCTCTGGGCTCTCTGCAGGTGGGCCTGTTGGATTTCTTCTTGATCTTTGATGCCTCGGTATCACACACACGTTCAGACAGACACATGTACACAGTGATAGTTACTTTTACCCAATAGTCAAGTCTACACCTTAAAAAGACTAGTTTAGAAATTGATCAGATAAAACCAAGGAAAGAAACCAGGACACGACAGGATTCTCTCGCACAATCGCCAATTCGCCAATTTTTTTCTTACGCTAATTCACCCAAGACGAAGACTTATCGGTAATTAATTTTTTTCCCTGTTGTTGTTGTTAACAAATGTTCATTTTTATTTTTAATATCCAAATATTTGTATCATTTTATTCTGTTAAATGACATTGGATTTTAAATCACGTTTGGAATGTTTGTGACAAAAGTGTTTTTCATCACTTTTTCTTTCTTTTATTTGATTCTTTTCTTATTTTTGTTATAACTATAATAATTATTTATATAGTTGTGATTATTTAAATATAATTACATTTTTACAGTGTAAATGAACGTGTAGTATTGTGGAGTAATGCAAGGCATGATGCCAGTTAAGACAAAATCTCGTATTCCTGAGACAATGGGAGTAACCAATGGATTGGTGGATGCAAGAGCAAAGCAGGTTTTGAGGGAAGCTGTAGATGCAGTCGTCAATAGTTTTGCTAAACATACTCAGGGTTATGGAAGAGGTTTGTTCTTTTCCTTTTACTTTTCTTTTTAATATATATTTATTGAAGTTAGGATAAAATGTTTACATAATAATATATATGTTTAGTGAATGTGGTTGAGGCGTTGCAAGAATTCTGGCAAATGAAACAAAGTAGAGGCACAGAATTAAGAAATGGAGCATTAGTTATTTACGAATCTGTCCCAGGTGCTAGTCCACCGTATGTTTGTTACGTAACCCTTCCTGGAGGATCTTGCTTTGGAAGTTTTCAAAATTGTCCTACCAAAGCTGAAGCACGTAGATCAGCGGCTAAAATAGCATTAATGAATTCGGTATTCAATGAACATCCATCACGAAAAATTACTGATGATTTCATAGAAAAAGCTGTTGCTGAAGCAAGAGCAAGTTTTGCTAAACCTTCCACTACACCTAACAGCGTTGGCAATCAAACTCAAGTAATTTTGTACTCATGTTATTATTAAAATGTATTATGAATATACATTTATATATTTAAGATTAAAATATATTTTTAGGGAAATGGTGATGACAAGGAAGATCCGAACACTGGCATTGGCGCATTTCGTTTCATGTTGGAATGTAATCGTGGTAGGACAATGTTAGAGTTTCAAGAACTTATGACAGTTTTCCAATTACTTCACTGGAATGGTTCATTGAAAGCTATGCGAGAAAGACAGTGCAGTAGACAAGAAGTAGTAGCTCATTATAGTCATCGTGCATTAGATGATGATATGCGCAGTCAAATGGCACTTGATTGGGTTGCCAGAGAACACGAAAGCGGTGGTGGAGTTGTTGCTATGGAATTAGCTTTAGCAGAAAGAGAACTTGAAACAGCACGTTTGGCAGGACGCGAGCTTAGATTTCCAAAGGAAAAGAAAGATATACTAATGTTGGCTCATGCTCAAGTTTGTCCCCAATGAATTATTATTTGAGGTAATATCAATTATTTGAGACTTTATGAGACTGCTTTTTTGAAAATTGGATCATTCAGAAAGATAAACAATTCATGTGCCTTGTAAGGATCGAATTTTCAAAAATAACGATTCACTCTTCATTTGTTATTCATTTTTTAAATCATTAGACAATTGTATTTTATCAAGGTTCACTTTTGTTCTTTGCTTTTTTTTCTTTTTTTTTTTTTTTTTGGAAGAAATATATTACACAAAGAATTTTGTGATAATACACTTTCGAAAGAATTTGAAAATTCAAAGAAAAGTGTTGTGGTGTACCCAGGGTATTTGAAGTACTTAATCTCTGCTAGAAATTAATTGAAGCAGAAATAAGAATAAATGTTTAATGTCGTCCTACGTACGTTTGTAAGCGTTTTTAAACACATAGAGATTTGTCTTCCATTTTTTTTTGTTTTTGTATTATTTTCTTTTTATAAATAATACGAAACGTATTTCATATATATATATATATATACGGAGTGGTGAAAAGAACAAGAATTCGATATTTGAAGAAATGATTTTAAGATCTGCGTTGATTAGAACATTTTTTTTACTTATCTCGATAAGTACTATAAACTCTTTAAATATCGAACCCCTTTTTTTTACCACCCTGTATATATAAATATTTACATTCCAGTTATATATGCTTAAACACATATTGCGCTTATCTTTTATGGTACGTGTATGCTAATGCAAAAAAAAAAAAAAGAAACATACACGTATATATATACATATATATATTGATATTCAAAGAGATTGAAATATCTTTTTAAATATTTTTATATGATGTAGTATGTGAGATCGAGTACGTCCATGAATATATGAAACTTATATAAAACGAAGACATTTTCATTGTGCCTGAAGATAAGTGATTACGACATAGTAGATATATAATTGTTTCAATAATATTTTATTATTATTATTATTATTAATATTATTATTATTAAAATTATTATTATTAAATATTGACAAATACATTTTTTAAAATATAAAGTTACAATTTGTTCACTTATACCTTGAATTTAACTATAAAGGAATATTAAGTTGGTGTTGCGGCATTTACAGTATCCTTAGACAACGTTGGCGCGGGTGAATTTTGTTCTTCTTCTTCCAAAGGATGAGCAAGTATTTTATCTATTATTCCAAATTCCTCAGCTTGAGGAGGACTCATGAAATTATCCCTTTCCATACAGCTCTCTAATATAAATGATAAAATTAATTGAAAAATAAGAACATGTAAAAACATATTGAAAAATTATTGTTAATAATTGACTTACGTATTTTTTCTAATTTCTGTCCTGTATGCTTGACATACAAGTTATTTATTTGTTTTTTAAGTTTTAATATCTCTACAGCTTGAATTTCTATATCTGTAGCTTGACCAGATACTCCTCCTGATGGTTGATGAATCATAATTCTAGCATTAGGTAATGAATGTCTCATGCCCTTTTCTCCAGCAGCTAAAAGTAAGCTCGCCATTGAGCATGCCTGACCAACGCACCACGTTGCAACAGGTGGTAAAACATATTGCATGGTATCGTAGATACCCAACCCTGCTGTTACACTACCACCAGGCGAGTTAATATACATATGAATTGGATTTTTACTACTCTCTGACTGAAGAAAAAGTAATTGAGCTATAACCACTGATGAAACATTATCTGTAATCTATTTGAAGAAAAAAAAATAGAAGATAAATTATTGTTTTAAATAGATTGTTAGATAAAATTATAAATTTGTATATATTTTATGTAATTAAGAAGTCAATATTACCGGACCCATAAGACAGATTATTCGTTCTTTTAAAAGACGAGAATAAATGTCATATGCACGTTCTCCTCTTCCACTTTGTTCCACTACTATTGGCACAAAATTTAAGTAACGTGTACTTAGTAGTTGTTGACCATAACCCTATTTTCAAAAGAAATATATAAATCAATTAAATGTATTCTATTTATTTATTTTTTTTCATCTTAAAAATTATTGAAGTAAAAAATACGTACACTGATACGTAATAAACTGTTGATTTTTTGCAACATTTCCACAAGTTTTTTTCTTTTTTTTTTCTTTTATAAATAATTTTGGTTTTTTTTTTTTTTTTATCTATAACCGTTGATTAAGTTCATTAGGTATTTTGTATTAATATTAAATACACCTTAAACCTAAAGAAATAAATAATAAATATATAAAATATTTTAATGATTCACAATATATAAGGCAATAGTTTAAATAAAAGAAATAGCACCTCTGTTAACAAAATTCGTTCACAACGTTGAAATTAAATTATTTAATAAACATCAATTGACAATATAAATGTATTGAAAAATGACATAGAAGTAAATGACCTGAATTTTTTTAGGTTATGTTTTGGTATTCGTTAAAATATCAGAATAGCTCAGTCGGTAATAGTAACAGATTTTTTTTATCATGTATTTTTTCATTTGTATTATTATGACATATAAAATTAAATACTTATTATTATTATTATTTTAAAACTTATTCTTTTCAAAAAAATAATTTAACTTTGACATTTGATAATTTGTTACAACATTGTTTATTTGAAAGTGATAAAATTGTTTTACCATATGAATAATTATTGTAGTTTAGATAGAATTTTAGTAGATGGCGGTGTTATCAAATGTTATGCAATTTATAGGTTAAAATAAACATTAGATTTATGAATTAATAACATTTTGTATAATATCAAATTAAATATGAATTTAAAATAAGACTGAAGTGAAATTACATTTACACGTATTATTTTTGTTCATTATTTTCATTTCTAATTGAAATCTATGTGAGTTTGTGCGATTACCTCTTTTACTACTTGCAATAATGTTATCATCATTATTTATAAAAAACAATTTAATAACTAAATTATTGGTGAATTCATCAAAATCATCTCTTATACTTTCACAAAAACGTACAATATGTAAACCTAGTTCATTATTACGTAGAATATTAGAAAAACCGAGGTATGTTGATCATTTGTTATTTAAATTAATTATTATTGACTTGTAATTTATTACATTATTATTATTATTATTATTATTATTATTATTATTATTATTATATTTATTTACAGGATAAACAGTGAAACTAAATATTGTTTAATAAGATGTAAACAAACACAATTATGGGATACAAAGCCTAATTTAATGAATAACGTTATTTTGTATAAAAAAAAATGTATTAATCCCCTGTTCATTCACTTATTTGGTTTATGCAACAGTGCGGCTTTGTTATTTTTAATTGGTTATTGGTGCAAAGATATGTATCATTCATTTATGAATGCATCATTTAAAGAATTTTCAGGAAACAATTATCCTATTATTTTTATGTTTTTAGCTATGACGCTCGCAGGTATATATACATGAAAATTATACGTAGGTTGGAACTTAAATAGTTGCCACTAAATAAACTAAATTGATTAATGATAAATATTGATTTCAGGACCACTGTTCTATTTATTCTCATGGTTACTTAACGCACGTTTAATCAAATGTATTATTTTACATAAAGGAGGTGATCATGTTAGTTTTATAACTAATCATTTATTGAAAAGTAGAAACACTATAACCACTCCCGTGAAAAATGTATATAGCTTAAGTTCTAGAACCGAAAAAATCGGAGTATATATGTCTGTCAAAATAGAATCTTATAGACTGTATTTTTTACTCGATAAAAGTGGCAAATATGTGAATAAGGATTTATTTGATTATGCGGTAATGTATAAAAAAGCTGACAAATTAAAATAATAATAATAATAATAATATAATGTTTGATTAAAATTGTAATAACGATTTATTAATCAGTAACCTTTTATTTAGTAGTTATAATATTTCTTTTTGATATATCTTATGAAATACAAATAGAAAATAAATAAAATCTTTTCATATATAAGAAACGTATAAAAATCTCTGATGAGTGCATCTGTAACTTATCGTTAACAATATCATTACGTGGAAATATATTTATATATATATATATATATATATAGAGTATTGTGTTTTATTGCACCAGTATTAACAGATGTTAATCGATTAACTGTTATATTTATGAAATTATTTATAATTATATATATATATATATATAGAGTATTGTGTTTTATTGCACCAGTATTAACAGATGTTAATCGATTAACTGTTATATTTATGAAATTATTTATAATTATTTGGTTTTCTTTTCAACATGTGTGTGTGTGTATGTGCATAATTGTTATTAGATAGCTTTCAAAATCGTCAGTATCTTTGATTATGTCGATCATAATATTTGCCTGAATATTTACTATAACGATCACTATATCCATCTTCTTGATATTTATCTTCAGCCTTATAAAAGACACCAGGTGCAGATCCAACATGTTTTTGCCAGTAACGTGTCCAGTAAAGATCTTCTGGATTTATATCTTGTGGATGTTTAGCATTTCTGAATACATGTACACAATATATAAGACTTCCCATCAGTGTTAAGAATCCAAAAATAAGGAAAACTATACCTAAAATCCTTGAAAAAAAAAAAAAAATAAATTGATTGATTGATTTAGACAGATGCATAATTAAAAATATATTCTTAAAGTGAATGTGATACACTTACCATACAATCAATGGTTGAAAGAATTGTATAACTATAACGAAACCCAATGTTACAAGGATTAAACCAAGATTCAATATTAACATGAGACAACAAATTCCTTTTGTATTTGGACAAAAAGGATTAGGTGTCGACATTGTTTCTATTATAATACCATCTTTTCTTGAAGTTTGTGTTTTAACTGTTGATATTCCAGATCTCCCAGAACCATAACTATAATGACTAGGAGCTCGATGATCCATTCTAGAACTTGGAGCAAGACTGTGATGAGATCCTCGACTAATGACATACAATTATTATTATTATTATTATTATTATTTCTAGTTTTATCAGTCTGTGGTAATTGTTGATAAGACAGTTATAAAACCTTATTTCTGAAGTTGTTCTATAAGCAGCGCTTGTAACATAAATATCTGAACCATTATCACAGATACTGCCATGTGATGCACTTTTATTAAATGGATGTCGAGATGGACCAGAAAGTACAGATCCACGACTATTGTGTGCACTGTGTGATCTGCTCTCCTCACTTTGATCATATTTTTCTTTACGATGTTTTCTTGCCGGTATGACTGGCTTCACCTAGAAAAACAATCTTAATTTAATTTAGTCCCCAAAATTATATTTATATTTAAACTTACCATTGTAGTATGGTCATTGGTCACAATGTACTCTGACATAGTATGATCTGAAGGAGCACGTTGACTTTCTTCCCCATCTGTTAGATAATCACGATTCATACTTCCATGGTAACTTAAATATCTTGATGTATGAGGCATGTTGACTTTGTTTTCTTTTTTATAAACCTTTTTTTTTTAATAACTTATTCGTATTTTTATTAATAGGTTTATCAATTCTTTTTTCTCATTTAGCAAAGATCAAAAATCATAATAAGAAGTATAACTGATCCTAATGCATAGAAAGAAATATTTAATGACAAACACTTGGATATTTAAATATTCTTTTCAAATGAATTAATTACAAATACTCACAGAGTTTAACATTAACAAAGTATATAGAAATTATTTGGATAACATCGTAAGACTTAAGTAGTCTAACTTTTTTTATAATTCTAAAAAATAAAAGAAATGTATATATATAAAAAAAAAAAAATATCAAAATAATTAATGTATGTAGTATTACAGTAGAAGATTATATACATTTATTATYATTATAATATTATCATGAATTTATTTCTCAAAATTAAATCTTATAATTCAGTACACAAACACATAATGTGTCCATTGTTGTCTCGTTTTTCATAGTTGCATATAATTAAAAAAAAAAAAAAATAATGATCACGAAAACATTGTCATATTTGGTAAACGTAGGTTGTGTTGTGCATGTATGTATGCATGTATACATGCATATTGTATTTTATTCATGTATCAAATACTAATTTGGTATGGTGATGTCATTTAAGAAGGTCGAGTGATCGACGTCCTCGATAGGTAATAATGATCGCACAAATATTTTATCGATACAATCATTATAATTCATTTCTTTTTTATTTAACTAAGATCGTAAATAACGTCACAATGTTTTATTAACGCAATGAAAAAAAAAAAAAAATAGCATTAATTTTTCATTGAATTATTGTGCAAGCAAAATTGCAATGAAATTTCATTGATATTATCAATGTTTCTCAGTAATTTAAAAACAACGTTTATTAATATTCAAATCTTTTCGATTTTCATGATAAGAAAATAATAGAAAATGAATTGAATAGGAAATAATAATAAAAAATAGAATTTGTTTTTACCTTAATTAATTTTTTGCTAAAAATATAAAAAATATTTTAAGTAAAAGTTCACATCCTTTGCGCATGCGCATTACATCATATCACCTTGTATGCACTAGATCGTAATATTGTTGGAACCACTTGTTGATTTATCGAGGAAAAATTGAAAGTAGAAACAATCTTGACAATTTTTACACATCACCCTCCTGATATTTATAATTTTGAATATAAAATATATAGAATAATAAAAGAAAATATATGTAATATTAATTATCGTCTCGTGTAAAACGAGTGTTTATTATATTCGTTTTACTTTCTATTCGTAGTAGTCGTTGTGGTATCTCAATTTTTTACAAGTTAACAAGTATTTTATATAATCTAAAATAAATAAATAAATTATATGAACATTAATATAAAAAGTGTAGACAAGATAAAAGATCTTATTCTTGTTACATTATAACATTCTTAAAGTATTGGAAATGTTGAAAACATGAAAATTAACTTACTTTTGTTCTAATATACGTTCTATCCTTATTTTCATTGGAATGCACTAGATGAAGTGTTCTCCAAGTAATCAAAAGTCCTTGATTTCACTATTATTTGAATAATATCAAAAATATTTTCAGACAGCTTGATATTTTATATATTCGAGAAAAATATATAGTTCGCAAAGAAACGTCCTTTTACACTCAACATTTTCTTATTTGACATGAAACAATTAGTTTCTATCGAGTTAACTACACTCTGTAACGCTTACGAATGTGTACAAACGCTTCACTGACTCTCGTACTACACTAATACTATTCTACTATTCTACTACACTACTACTACACCTGGAGAGAGTGGTGTGTCAAAGCGAAAGGTGCATTCATCGCAGTTTAAGTTTCAAAGACGCTTCAGTATCGCCTTTAAAAGGTAAACTAAGGCCAACCACTTTCTTACTTTTATTATATTCAATCTTCCTAATTAATAATCCTTATTCAAAAAAAAAAAAAAAACATTAACCATAAATTATTATTATTATGTCGAAGATTTGCAAGAAAAAAAATTTATTTTGTAATTTCTATTAAAAGAATTTTTTAATCAAAAAAATATGATTTATTTTTAAATATCTTAATCGTTTATTATTTTTTTCTATTATTTTAAATTTTTTATTGCAATTATTTATTTATCCCTGCCAATGTATTTAAATGAATATTTGCAAATATTTTACATTATTAAAATTTGAAATATCTCATCTAAATGAAAGTAACCAATAGCAGAAAAGAATTATTTTTACGAACCAATCAGACGAGTTTATGCTAACGTACACACGTTTCTATTAGTGGAAACTTAAATTTGAGATAGAATCCCGCTTTGTAGTTTGCGTACTCCTGAGACGCTTATATATTTCGTTAGTAATATATTTGTATTTTTGTTTTTATTGAATAATTTAATGAATATCTATCTATGTAATAATAATATTATTATTTTATTGAACACATATACCTTAATGGATTTTATTGTTTGAATTTTTGGATAATTATTACAGTAGAAATATTTTACGTAAGTCATTTATAAAATTGTTTATAATAACGTTATATATATATATTTTTTTTTTATTAAATTATAATATTCTTTGTTAATTAAATTAACAATTTTTATTAAAGCTAATTATTATAGTATAATTATTAGAAGATTAATTACTATTTTCATGTACTGAAGTTTGAGGTTAATTACTTCTGATTTCGCGCCAAAATTATACATCAAATTTTGTTAATTTTAGAGATACATTTGACATGGACAAATTTTATAATATATATAAATAACTTTTTTGATTAAAAATTGAAATTTCTTATCAAATCTTCTGTATGTATTAATTAGATTTTTTATGTAAATGAAGGATGTAAGATGTCCCAGCACGGTGCTGCGTTACAAACATATAATCAAGAATTAGTAAAATGTAAGTTTATTTTTATTGTAATTATTTATCATTTCTTCTTTTCATAATTAGATTTGTTCAAATTTTCTTGACAGTTTTTCTGAAACTTTTTCAAGGTTTAGAAGAAATGAAATTGAAGAGAGCAGAACTGCAATCTCAAATTGAATCACAGGAAGAAGAAAAGAATAATTTACAAAGGGAGATAGAAAAAATGTCACATAAACTTACACGATTGAATGATAGCCTTGCTAAAAGGGTAGCAGTTAGAAACGAATATGACAGAACTATTGCAGAAACTGAAACAGCATATATGAAAGTAAGTTATATTTATTTAGAAAAATTTCAATTGATAAATTATTTTAGATTGGGAATTGTTTTAGATTTTAGAAAGTTCGCAGTTATTACTAAATATGATTAAAAGAGAAGCCACAAATTTAGATCAATCATTGGTGAAGGCCAGTATGGATAAACAACAATTTAGACAATGATCTCAATTAATTAACAAAAATATTTTTAGAAATTTTTGTATAATGTATTTGTTAAAACATATACATTATAATATGTCTATTAAAGAAATCGATCTAACGATTTGTAACTAGTACAAAATTGTAATTATTTTCTATAAGATGATGATAGACTAATTTTGTAATTATTATACACGATGTCGAAATATTAATAATTCATTGTACAAATTTTTTCATAATTTATTATTTATAAATATAATAATGTACATATATATATAGATATATCTATTTTATAGTTGTATAATTTATAGTCATTTGACTAAATATTTTTATCATAGGAATATCTTTCTGTTATTAAAAAATTGCGAATATAATGATGATGTATTTAAATAGTTTCTAAGAAATTTATAATTAATATTTAATATTAAGTCAATTATTGAAATTAATTCGTATAGTTTTAACTTTTTCAATGATAAACAATTGTTCTATACATGACATAATAAAAAGACTGACCAAAGATTATAATAGATTCATTTATATAATTGTATTTTATATTTGTAGAAATATATTTAATAATATTATTTCTATCGTATTTAATACTTCTTTCTTTTCTTTTTAATTACTTACATGACTAAATAGAATTTATAATATAATAACAATAAATAAAAAATAATTTATTTAGATGTTAATAATATTGTTGTATTCCTATTGAGATTTGTTGTTTACAATTTGTACTGACGAGTACAGGGAATATACTGTTAATACAAATTTAATATTTGTGAACAATAATAAGAAAAATTAAGTCAAGTTCAAATATTTGTACTGGGTTGTTCAATAAGTTTATGAATTCCATTCCTGAAGTGAGAATTTGGAAGGGCTGTAAAATACGTTTCCACAGCTGTGTAACTGTGTAACTGAATTTATCAAACCGCAAAATTTATTGAACAGCCTAGTATATTCCATGTAAAAAAATAATATACTTTAATTTATGCATTTCCAAGTGCTTTTTGTTCATTCCAAACATGTAACAATTCGTTAGGATTTCCATACCCATGAGAACTAATTACATATTTGTAATTGAATTTGGTATAATCTTTTTTATAAAAATGAAATTCTTCACAATGAAATGGTTCTATATCGGCTTTCTTAGCAACTAGACCTATAAAAATGTCATCGAATCTGAAATGTTTTGTATAAAAACTTGTATAATACATATCTAAGAGAGCTTCTCGTGAAAGTATATATGCACCAGCTGTAACATATGGTGGCCATAAATGATACGGATATTCTTCTAATGAGACATACCATTTGGATGATCTATGACGATGTGGAGATGAAACGAATACAAAACCTGCAAATAATCTCACATCTTCTGGTAGTTCAAAATCAAATACTTGTCTTTTTTTACGAATCAATGATTCTGTCTCATTAGAAATTAATGACGAAGAAGATATATCTTTCAAAATAATTTCTTCATTTATACTGTCGTTTAATTTTGTAAATATATTTTGAGTATTATCGCTGTTGTTGTTATTTAAAATCATAGTTGTTAGTTGATTTTCTAGACTGTAGTCTAGATTACTAACATTTTCTTTAGTAGCAGAAGTAACTTCAGATAATTTTATTAAATTTGCATCAGAATGTAATTCATCTTTAACATTGGTACTTGTATTGGATATATCTCTTGTAATTGAATAATTATTTTCATTCTCATTCACATAATTTGATACATGAGAGAAATTTCTTGTCGATTCATACGAATATCTTATTTCTCTTTTTTGAGAGATCTTTTTTGGTTCTTTCAAATAATCCGGATAATTTGTAGGATTTCTTATAAATCTTAAAACATTTTTAACTGAAACGTACATGTCGTCATCGACAAACATATAAAATTTGGAATTAGAGCAATATTTAACTGCCCATTTAAAACCCATCATTGTTTTAATAGTATTATTATAATATGTGTCAATAAAATTAGCTTGTACAATATCTTTGTATTTCGTTGCTTCAAGTTTTATTTTAGCTTGTAATTCTTCGTCTTGATGATGTATACCTAATATGAAAACTGTTCTTGATGGAACATCAAAGAATCTTTTTTCAAAACCCCATGAATGTCTTATAGCCATTCTTCTCTCAAAATTTTCTATGGCTGATTTAATAATGTATACTATACGAAATTTGGTACGTGCACTTTCAACACATTTCTCTTCGTTGTTGTGTAAAAATGAATAATTATATACATTGATTGGATCAACAGATGGTTTTTGATTGTATCTTAACGCATTTACAAATTCGTGTATGTCACCATTATAAGGATAAGAAAAATGTTCGTCGTACATAACTTCAAACATATGAGTAAATGCACCAAAATAATTCAATATCATAATAAAACTAATGGAAAGAATAATGTATTTGAACTTTGATACGATCCTGTAACTTAACCGATAACAAGGACGTAGTAAACAATACATTTTTTATCACAGTCTGAATTTAAAAATAATTTTCTTACATGTCCACGTTATCTAATCTATCTTTAATCTTTTTTTGTTCGTAAAGCAACATATCTATATATATAAAAAAAAAAGGAATTAAAATAATTCTATTAACAAAATTATTTCTTTTGTACAAAAGTTATTACATAAAATATAAAATACTTACAACTGTGATTTTAATAAAGGATGATCTATTTAAGTTAGAATCAGATAATAACCAAAAACATAATAGTGCGATGGTTTATTTGATTATTGCATTTCTAGTGTTTCTCCATTGAAATAGATTTTCATGAATAATAAATAAATAATCAATTGGCACTAAAGTAATGTAGATTTGAATTTTATAATATTTTTTATTTATAAATTGCACTAACGAGTTAATATTCCACGTGAGTCGATCAAAACATTTGCAGACAATAAATTCGTTGACATCCATTGATACTGATTAAGAATGACAATATAACCTTATTTCATCAATATTAAGTTATGTCAATTAGAATAATTTTATTAATTACATCATTAAATAAATTCATGTTTGTTTCTATTATTAACCTTTTCTAATTGACGTTAACTAAATTATAGATTAATCGAATTAGAATCGATATCGAAATATTATCGATATTCTCTATCGAAATTTATAAAAACATTTTATTTCGATAATGTATAGATTTAAATTCTGTATAAAGTTCAAAGTTAAGATACATAAAAAAAAAAACAGAAAATTACAATTAAAATAAATTAATAAATGTTTAATTTTGAATTACATAAATTAACATTAAAAAGAAAAGATGTTTGAAAGGCGGGAAATTCAACTGAGATTTTTACGAAATTCGTAATGTCTTATTGCACATATGAATTTTACTAAAATATATTAAATTAATTGTCATCAAAAAAAAAAAAAAAATAAATAAATAAAAAGAAAATGAAGAAATCTTTTCAACAAAGTGCATCAACAATTTTAAAAGATCATATTATAGAAAAGAAACCTTTTGGATTTTGTTGCAATAAGAAAAATTTAGATCCTGAAACCTTTTATGATAAACGACGACCACCATTTAAAAGTTCTTTGACTGACGTAGTTGTTGGAAGTGGCGGTCAAAGTTTAAAATTTCGCCTTCAAGATATCGCTAAATTACCTTTTCCAATTCAACTTATTGCATCTAAGACAAAGGATGCTGCATTTCTTGGTGATTGCAAACACTGTCGTAAGATATTACGTTGGTATTTGGAAGATGAAATTGCACTAGCTCGAAACATTTATGCACGCGATAGACAAAATCGTTACAATTTACAAATGGATAAAAATGTTGAAATAGCCAAACGTAAAAGTAAAATTATATTTATTTTTATTTGCAATTATTATTTTTTTCCTTTTTTTTTTTGTTTTTTATAACTAATCATAATTTAGGAAAAAGATATGATTAATTATTTTAATTATCGATTTAGAAAAATGGCGTAAGGAACGTAAAGCAAAACGTAAAGAAGGAAAAATGTAAGCATGTATTATTTAAAAAAAAAAATTAACTTTACCGAAGAAGACATTATTATATTATAGATTGTAATTTGCAATTTAATATTTGGATAAATAAAATTGTTATCTGATGTAAAAAAAAATAGAAAAAAAAATAGAAAAAAAAATGCAAATTCTACAACATACAAATGATAAAGAATATTTCTGAAATATTTTATTAAAAAATATATTTAAGCAGAATACAAAAGTTCGTATAATTTTAAAGTTTAATCACAATTTATTATTAATTTTAATAGTTTGTCGATACTCTCTTTTTTTAGTAGCGTGTTCTTCTATTATATAGGAACAAAAACAAAACTAAAATATTGATATGTGAAATGAATTAAAATTCACAAATAATAATAATAATAATAATAGTAATAATCTTATTAAAATCAACAATTATTATTAGAAGCTACTTGACTCTAAATTTATAATGTTGATAAAAAAAAAAAATTGATAAGCATTGCTCTTATTATTATATACTTTTTAATCTGTCCCACAGTAGTATTAGCAAAATATAAGATATATTGTATCTCGTAAGACAAATATAAATATAATTTTATATATATTGAACGACGTGTATTATAATATATTTTAAATTATTAATAACTAAATGTATAGATCGAAAGCTTTTTTGAAATAGTTATTAACAAATTTTGCCATTAACAAAAATGAAAAATTATTGTATTTAAAATATATATATATAACACAAATTAGAACTTAGTATTAATAATATATATAATAAAGTATATAATCCAAAATGCTTGAGAAGTTAACAAAACTGATTTTTGTTCTATATATGTAGATTTCTATCATCAATATAGAAAATATGGAAAATACTGCACAGCTTTATTCACAGTAAAAATTAATTAATTTCATTTGTTTATCATTTCAGTTATACTGATATATATATATATATTTGTAGTTTTGTTGTTCTTTCCATTGTATGTAATAATTAATTGTGTAATAATATACGCACTTGATTCGTACAAGAAAATAAAATTTTCATATAGTTATTTGTAAGAGTAATAAAATTGAAAATAATTCTTCCTTTTGTTTTCTTCTTTTCTTTCTTTTTTTTTTTTTCAATATCAATTGAAATACACAACAAAACAGAAAAAAAAAATTATGACAATATTTAATCGTAATCATTTTTTTTCGTGCTTGTCATTATTGAAAAAGAATAATAACTTATAATTATTTGATGAAAATGATATACTCTGTGTGGATAGAAAATAATCATTATAATAATAAGCATGCACGATCCTTAGCACTGATTTAAATCGATTAAATTGAATTAATCTTTGGTGAAGTATTTGTTTAAATGGTGGCACGTGAAAGTTTTTATTAAATAATTAGAATTAACTTCAATTTCAATAATGTATGTGCAATAGGTATATATATATATATATATGCCTATATGTATCATGTAAGAAAATTATATATCATCATTTATAAAAAAAAATACTTAATAATAACAAAAAAAAAAACAAAAAAAAAACAAAAAAAAACTGTTTATCGTAATGAAAAGAAAATGAACATCATAAATTAACTTGTTATAACATTGTTTTTTTTTTTTCTGAATTCCTCATTGGAATTGTTATCACTTTATATATGACTTTGTTAATTCTGTTATAATGATACCATTATGCATGGGAATGTCATTTTCTACGGCTACGGTAAGTACTTCCCCTTTTTCCTATTATTCTTCTATAAATTTACCGTATCACCCTTTTCATAAATCTCCAAAGATATTGCCTATCATTGCATTGCATTAATTCATTTTTGTAAATCTTGTTATCATAGTTGTTCTTCATTATATAAATTTTTTTTTCTCTCTCTCTCTCCATTTATGCTTTCTTCTTTATAAGTTTATATGCATTTACAAAATCAGTCTTACATATAAGCAATCATTTTGGTGATTCTGTAATTTTTTATTTTTATTTTCAATTAAACTTTTTATCATATTATTACTATTAACCATTTTGCTTACCACACTTGGTCCAAAGGATCAACTCAGACCTTTTTTTGGCAACTTGAGTCATTTTTTTCAATTGTTCAACTTTGATAAAATTTTTTTAAACATTAAACTCTAAATTTTTAAACTCAAAAAAAAAATGTTGAAGTAAATCTATGCAATAGTTTTTTTTTTATAACAATTTTTCTCACCCGGGTCCAAAGGACCCCAGTGTGGTAAGCAAAGGTTAATATATTAAAGAGTATGATTCTTTAAATAGGGAATATACTTACTGTTGTTTTCCAATAGAGAACTATACACTTGTATCTTTCGAGTCCATTTTCAAAGAATTTTCAGTTACCATACTTTCTTCTGATATTTCTAAATTAGAAACGTTTAATGAAGAAGTAACTGTATCTTCTTTTACAAAATTTTTGTCAATATCATCTAAAACTGGGGGGGTGGTATCCAATGGACACTCAGTTTGTTCCTGTTCTAATAACACTTTGTTACCATTATCAGTATTGGTAACTGCAAGTTCGGTTGATTCTTTCACATCTTTAATATCATATTTTTCATCTATATCAATATTCTCACTATTCTCAATATTCTCTATAGTCTCTATAGTCTCTATATTGATGGAATCGTCAATTTCGTTATCTTTTTGAGTATCTTCGATCATATTCTGTATTATATCATCGATACTAAGTTCTTTTAAACCAATAAAAACATTTGCTTCTTCTTTTTCAGATAAAGTGTTACATTTATGAACATATTCTTCTTGTTCTAATAATTCTGATGAATTATTTTCGTCTATAGAATATGTTATCGTATCACTTGGTGCTTCTCGTGATTCTTCGTTCAATTTGTCAGAATTTTTTTCTGTATTTAACTCCATACTGTTATTAGTTATTTGTTCCTCTACTGTATGCTCTTCGGCTGTGGTATTAGTACTTTTGCACAAAGGCAAAAGGATTTCTGTAATATCTTGTCCATGCATGCTTAATTTGACATGCATAGGATCTTCGTCGTCAATAACTTCAAATTGAAACATAGTTGCACCATCAGCTGCAAGATCTTTAAAAGTTTGACAAGCTTCTTCGGACCAAGATGAAATATAATCTGGCATTTGCAGACCACATCTTTTTGCCAATATAGGAATATTAACAATATCTTCGGGTAGTATTCTTAATTCTGTAATTATAGAAGTATTACCATAGTCTATATAAAAGACATTAACGCCATTTTGATCCTGCGATAATATTTGTGCTCTGTACCATTGTTCATCTTCGGGATATTTTGCTGCACAAATTGTACCATTCTCCAAATTAGTCAATGGAAGAAAACTCGTTGCATCTTGCAAACGATCCGACATTACTTCTAATTCAGCCATACTAGCCTCTGCTTGTACCCAAAATTCTGCTGGCGTATTAACATGACTTATCACAACATTAGGTGAATTTTCTTCTCCAAGCGGTGGTAATCTTTCTTCTATATTTGTTACTTGTTGTTTACAAAAAACAGCTAATAAATCTGCCACATCTGCATCGTCTAAAGTTAATTTGACCAATGATGTTTCTTGTTCCTTTATAACATCCAAAAGAAATATTGTAGCGCCATCAGCTGCTAATTTGATAAATTCTTGGCACGCTTCGTCGGACCATTCTTTTATATTTTCAGGAAGAACTAAGCAGCATCTTCGAGACAAAGGTGGTATTTTAACCAAGTCTTCTGGAATAGCACGAATTTCAGTAGATATCGCTGAATTTCCATAATCAATGTATAAAACTTCTGTTTCACCATTATTGTGAGATATAACACGTGCTCTATACCATTGATCATCTTCTGGATATTTAGCAACGCACAATAAATTTTCTGTTATCTCGTCTACCTTAGGAAACATATCTGCAACCATAAATCTATCAGACATTACTTCTAAATCAGCAATGGATTTTTCTTCCTGTACCCAAAATTCACTTGGTGAATCAATATGACTCACAAATGCAGAATGTGGATCTAATTCTAATTCTATTATTTCATCTATTAGATCTTGCTCTGCATATATTCTTACAGCGTGATTTTCTTCAACTAATATTTCACTG